ACACACACACACACACACACACACGCACGTGTAAATCAAGACAAAAATATTTTTTGAAATTAAATTAATGAATGTTGTAATACACATTTGATTTTTACAATATAATTTGGTAGTTTTCTGGTTGCAAGATGGCAAGCCCCTTTGCTGAAAGGAGTACTTCCAGGGGGCAAGAGGAGGGACTTCTGGTGGCAAAGTTCACAGCTTAGGGGGTGGAACTGCCAGTCCCAAGATGGTGACCAGGGGGCAGAGTACCTATCTAGGGGTGGGGATACCCATGCGGCCTTCAATGGCTTGCCAAAACTCTGTGAGTGGCCCTCCGCCCAAAATAACTGCCCACCTCTGTGCTACATTCTTAGTTACATTAACAGTCATTGTTCACCATCTCAAACTGAGTGGTGATGATTTACACAAGGTAGGATCTGGCCAGGTAAGCTTATGCTTAAAATTAGGCATTTATATAAATGTATAAAAGGCTCAGAATCTAGATCACCAGCTTAAATCCAGCTGAGATCAAGTGTGATATATGCAGAAGTGGATAAATTACAGAAACTGGTAGCCCCCCAAGGAAATAAATACAAATGTTATTTTTTTCAATAATCTTAATCAGTTATAATAATTTTACTAGTAACACCAGGCACCAAGGGAAGTTCAGCCATTAATGTGATTTTTAATTTAGGCTGTCATTTTAAAGCAGACACTACTTTAATTCTAAACCAACCAATGTATTTTGGAGGTATAAATAAAAAACAGATATTTTTCCACATTAAAAAAATGTAAAAATATGTACCAACCATCATGTAAATAAACATTTAATTTTTTACTGAAATACAGAACTTTAATTATAATTAAACAAAATTAAATTTTAGTAATAAATAGTCACATTAATTACTTCTGAGGATTACTTTTGTCATGTTTCCTAATAATGTCCATAAGATTATCACCGGTTACAACACTGTTCTGTAACTGTTTAATTCTCTGTTGTTCTCTTCTCTTTTGGTCATGAAGATAAGGGGAATTTAGCAACTGTGGAGGAAGAATGGTGCCAGTTGGTTTTACTCTCTTCACAACATCCCAGAAAAGCTTCTTGCTGTTGTTATTTATAAAAGTAATTGCTGTTCCATTGTGACCCAATCTCCCTGCTCTTCCAACCTGAAAATGAAAAGTAACATTTATTGTAAATTAGCAATATTAATGTCTCCCTCTAAATGGGAGAAATTTGCCTTACTTATAGTATTGGTCAGACAATTGCATCAGCTCCATAAATGGCTAAGCCAAAACTCAATATATGTAGAGCTAGCACACCAACAATGTAAGAATCCACTGGGATGCATTAATAAGACCTAAACCTGGTTAAACCAAATACTCGTGGTTGTACTGTTCTTTAACAAGCGACTTGCACAATACTTAAGACACAGATATATTTACCTGATGCACATATTCATCCATACTCGAGGGCATATCAAAATTTACTACCAGTTTGACATTGACAAGATCAAGCCCTCTTCCAAGGACTCCAGTGCTTACTACAACTTCATACTTCGCTTGAAATAATCCCTGATAAACAAAAAACCAGAACTACATTTATCCTCTGGAGGTACAGGATGCAGCATTATAACTTGCCCAACAAGATTATTCAATTGCTGAAGAAAAATAATGCCCTACTAGGGTTCGGCAGCCCATAGCCTGGGGAATTTCAGCAGTCAGTGGGCTTTGACATGAAGGATTTTCATAGATATTAGGGCTGGAAGGGACCTCACAAGATC